ATGTCTATGCGTCACGTATTAACATTTTCATTCATTCGCTGTCTCTTGTGCAATTCATCTTTTTAGCCATCGCGCACAGGGTGACACGTCAATCAGCGTCTTATCTATTTTTATCGTCCTCCAATAATTACCATAAAATTTAACGGTCCCCGCGGTAATTTCGTCTACGAAAAATTTCTCTCATTTAATGTAATTACGTAAACACACGAGAGTCCAATAATCATAGTCCAGAGTGTCTCGAGAGTTTAACTCGAGACATCGAGTGGTTCTTTGATTTGAGAAGGTATCGTCTGTAAACAAATATCCCAACAGAGTCGTGAGAAAATATAAGAAAATCATTCGATACGCGTTAGCGAACGACTTCTCGAAGTCGCTCGCTTCACAGGCGTGAAGTTGTGCACGGAGAAAAATTTGAATTCCTAGACTACGCAGTCATTGGTCGTTTCACTGTTTATCGAGATACGTCATTCATTTTGACCTACGGCTAACTTCACTCGGGTGCTCGTATCTTCTCGTTCGCTCCAAAATGCCCTACACCTCGTAACTCATGCCGAGATCTCAGCTAGCTCTAACCTCCATATTTTATTCTCACAACGGAAACGTACGTCAGGTCCGCGCCGTGCTTCCTCGAATTTCATTCAGCTTCGGGCTATCGTTCAATTATGCATGATTGTCCAGACGTCGTGTCACGGCGTTCTAACGGGTGTTTCGTTAGTAGCTATGCGTCGCCGATATATCACGCTGCGTATCTTCGGATTGAGTTTGTTCATGGTTTAAAAAAAAAAAACGAGAAGACACTTTTATACGATTTAGAAAATAGTGTTATGAGTACGTCTTGTATTTTTAAAGCTTCATATATGTATATATGGATATGACGTGGAGACGCATCACTTTCTCTATGAGTTGCATACGTGCCGTTCAAAACGTATGCACGGTTTTCTTTCGAATTTTTCGGACTCTCGTATACGACACGCGAATCTCAACGGATCGAGAAACATCCACAGACTGATTTTCAACAAAAATTCTCAATTTCTTATTTATTTCTTCCTTTTTCGTGTATCGCCGTTCTCTTTGCTGTCAATATTTTCCCACGATTTTATTTTTAATTTCACTTCTATGCTAATTAACGAACCAGGGTGATCGGAATCTCATTAAATGTATCGTTGATTAATATTCATCGGCGTCGTCTAACCATATGGGCAATCCTTGAAGAACGTACATATAGGGTTATGCGGTACACACTGACTACCTGAAGTTGGCTCTACCATCGAAATCAAAGGCACGGGCTAACTTCATGTGGCATGCTTGTCGCGAACGACTCTGTACACGAATAGTGGCTGGACGATAATTTAATTTTAGGTAAACCTGCATCTTTACACAATTTCTAGAATGTCCATGGTACTTATCAAGACTATCAGACTATCGACACGTGTTTCTCCTGGAATCTTGTATTAGTCCAGTATTGCGCAACATTGCGTCACTTCTAAAAACCTCAACGAGCGAATATGGAAAGAGATTTTACTCTCGCTATGAATTCTCGAATATATTCCTAAAGATATTTTTCTAACAACTTACTTGAGTTCATATTTCACATTGTCATTACTATATTTCGCCATAAAGCCTCGTTCACATCGTTTAACTTCTTATCACGATTCAGCTGTACAATCTGTCTATGAAAATACGTATTGAATGTTCGTATGATAAAAATGTATTTACATACAAAGTCGTTGACTACTGAAATTTGCTGTTTTGTCTTTTGAATACGTTATCAAGTCGTTTGTGGTCCAGAAGACGAAAATTTAACAAGACGACCCGTTCTCGACACTCGACACGAATCGAATGAATTTTCATCGCAATATATCTGAGAATTTCATATATACGCGTCCTAATCATCGGCCCGATAACGTGAGTCACTCGTATAACACGAGAGCCGATCCGCCAAGTGGAAAATGACAGGTCTGAACTATATCAAGAGACTTACGGGACTGGTGGGGATCAGTAGGCGCTTGACCATTGAATAGCTACCAGTGCATACGCTCCTGAGCTTTTACTATTGCATCCACGTGTACGTTATAGCGAAGAGAACTTTTTTTGGAGTGTAGTCTTGATTTATATCCTGGACGATATATCGTATTAATCGATAAACTTTAATTAGCCAACTCTAATCTGCACTGTATTACTTTTAATCGTCGGACACGCTAATTAATTACAGTTACTATTAGAGATTCATTAATATTTATTAAATAAAAAATCTCCTTTTTAAATTACATTCAATCGTCACGCAAGTCCAGCTTCTTTCTTCGTTCGAACAACTTTCCCTCGTGCTTTTACCCACAATACATTATCCCTGCGATGGTAAATCCCGTCGGGTACGCAACGTAGGCGACCAAGTGCTTTGCCACATTCTCAACCACCTGTTGGTCTCTAATGCGATCTGACGAGTTGTGCAAACCTTTTCGACAAGGTCAGTGGAAAATATGACCAACGGTTTATGAAGGCTGAAGTAAGCCCAATGTCCAGTAGGTGTTGTGTACCGACGCAATGCATTGTTGGCTGTCATTTGAAAACGATATATCGTCCGGTGCCATGTAGAGCATGTAAAAATGTGTAAAAATAATTTTTACCCACGACCGTATAGAACGTATGACATAGGTGTCTGGTTAAAAAAAAAAAAAATATTATCGAGTCTCTGTTCCGATGTTTTTTTTTCCTCCTCAGACACGCGATCAGGGCACCACTGCTTGGCTGTTTATTTTCCACGATACTTACAACCGGAAGTAAAGTTTTATCGGCGTCGCGAAGGAGCGCGTGTTGTGCCTAAAATTGTTAATGGTTTTCCAAGATTTCGTTAATATGTGGCTCAAGGATGTGGGCGAAGAGGTTATGCCGGCAGCGCAATTCGCTAATTCACGTCTTTATGCTCTGAACGAGTAAGTTTTATAATTTTTGCTTTGTCTCCTCGAGCGAAACACTTCGTTAGATTATCGAAGCACGTTTTCAAAACTGTGATCGTGTTCTTTGTCGCGCGATATACGGGCAGACGCTGCTGCGACAATAAACATGTTTTCACTGTGAATCCACGTGAGTCACGCTTGTCTTATTTCCTTGCTCGAAATCATAACGCGCGTCTCTTAAACTTATTGGGTAATACGATGTTTTGTTGTACTGGTTTATTTTTTTTTTATTTTTCGAAAACTAAACTATCTTTATAATGTTATACGTACCTATAGCTATAGCTGTCGATCTAATTTTCAATGGTATTGTGTTACTTTCGAGTGACAGGCGACTTTAATTACATTTCAGCAATTATTGATTTACATGATATATATATGTATATATATATTGGCACGAAGATAGAGCCAAGGCCAGCTGCTTAATGCCAAGAAGCTTAACCGATCTTCAATTTCTGTATGCCTTTGCGTCAGTGTATTACCGGCTTTAGGGAGGAACGGACGTTCATTCTTTACGAGAAAAAGTTGAATCGTTTTTCGTTCTTTATGATTTTTAGGTATAGGCTACTAGACTTTTTCGTGCTTCGATTATTCTTTTGATCTTTGCGATAATCGACCTACATATCTGTCTCAGCGTCATAATCGATAGAGGAACTGACATCGCTTCATTGAATCATGTGGAAAATGTCTGTTAACCTGTCGTGTACGATGGGGATTTTCCAATAATCAATATTTTATTCTGAAGTTTTCATTGTACTTATTGTTTAGGGGGAAAAAAAATGATTGCGCTCATTTTTTGTTTCTATCGCGATAACCGTTTTGGTGGATTTTTAAAAATAGTAAAAAATTCACTTTTACATCCGTAGACTGATAACGTGTCAAGGATATATTAATTACATGCTCTCGTGATTTGTTCGATACTCGTTATTTAATAATTTTTATTGATTCCTAGATAAAACAATCCAATCGATTACGATTGGTCGATTTTGTCGAACGAGATTTGATGTAACGAAAATCTCGTTAATTAAATCGCTACGTGTCACGCGAAATCTGTGAGCATTATGGAATTAATGTGACTCATATCTGTATTGTACGTTCACGAGGAAATACGTAGAGACGACTTTAGTCGGAATTCAATTAATATAGAAGGCCATTTAAACTCTATATCAATTATTATTAATTAAGGGCTCGACAGTAGTTGACTTATAATTAATAATTTGCATTATCTTATCTGCATTCTTCAAAAGAGATACAGGGTTCGTCATGTCTCTGTCTCATGATAAGAGATTACACTTACAAGAACGTCTGGTCGTTCGTACGAGAATCTTTACGTATGTCTGATAGACATTTTCAGGGGATCTATAAAGTTAGTCAAGGTTATCGGGTTTTCAAAGTTATCCTGGTTCTCTTACTAATTACTTGATTTGGAAAAAATCCTGTAAATCATTGTTCCCGATAATTCTGACACTGTAGTCTCTTGTTCAGCAATTTTCAATCTTAAGGCCTCTTTAAGGGAACGGTTTAAAGAAACAGTCCCGTTATGTCCGAACGTCTGTTGACTCGTGGCTACGATCCGTTATTCTTGGAAAGCAACAGGTACGTTTCCAAAAACCAAAAAAGTCTCGTTTTTGGAAACTGTAATTTTTGAGATTGTCAAAATAATTTTTTTGTTCGGAGACTTTTTTGTTCGGAGACTTTTTTTTCAGTGCTTTTGTTTCGAGAGAATCTTGGGCTTCTCTTGTTTCGCGACATTATTTTTATATCGAACTGCGACGTGAAATTTTTTTTTGAAAATGAGCGATTCGGACTTGACTAGGTTTATGAGATTTCCTGTGTATGTTGAAAATCAAAATTTGCATGATCATTCTCGTCGGGAATCTCAAGCTTCGATATCACGAAGTCATGCGATTAACAGGTGTGTAAGAGTCGGCCTGGTAAACGTCACACGGCAGCTCTTATATTTGGCGAACGTTAAGATGTCATCGAGGGATATCGATAAAATTGAGTAAAAAATAAAGTTTACTAACCAAACTGTACTTCCAATTGCAGAATATTCGTGAATAGAAGTCTTCATTTGGAAAATATCAAATTCTATGGATTCGACATGGATTACACATTGGCGGGTGAGATTTTTTCTTTTTTTTTTTCTCTTTGCGATATTCTAAATAATTGTATCGGGAAGAAATGTTATTAAGCATGGTTTTACGTATCTTTCAGAATATAAATCCCCGCAGTACGAACAGTTGGGGTTTAATCTCCTGAAGGATAGACTGGTCTCTCTGGGTTATCCTCAGGAAATCAAGGCATTCGAATATGATCCCAGTTTCCCAGTAAGAGGACTCTGGTTCGATACTCTCTATGGAAATTTACTGAAAGTCGATGCGTATGGAAATATTCTAGTCTGCGTGCACGGATTTGAATTTCTCAAACAGTAAGTCATCGTCATATAATTTTTCATTATCCGAAGATTGTCGGTTGGTTGAGAGCAAAAACAAAAGGTTGAATAATTCTCTTGAAATATTTTACAGCTCCCAGGTGTACGAGCTCTACCCAAATAAATTTCTCCAATTGGACGAATCGCGTGTTTACGTCTTGAACACGCTTTTCAATCTACCGGAGACTTATTTGCTGGCGTGTCTGATCGACTTCTTCACGAACTCGCCGCAATATACCCGGGAAAAAACTGGCGTGAAGGAGGGCGACCTGACTATGAGCTTCAAGAGCATATTCCAGGACGTTAGGAGCGCCGTGGACTGGATTCATCTGCAGGGTGATCTAAAGAGCAAGACTATTGAAAATTTAGATGAGTACGTGAAGAAGGATGAGAGGCTACCGATGTTTCTCACCAGGATAAGAGAAAGCGGTGCCAAGGTCTTTCTTTTGACTAACAGCGATTACATGTTCACTGACAAGATCATGACGTATCTCTTTGATTTTCCCCATGGCGCCAGGGTAAGCTTCTAATGGTACAATGACAATTGATTGTTGCTGTGTGCTTATTGTATTTGTTTAATTACAGCCTGAGGAACCACACAGAAATTGGAAGACTTATTTTGATACGATTGTCGTCGACGCCAGGAAGCCACTGTTCTTTGGCGAAGGCACCATTTTACGTCAGGTAAACACCAGCACGGGAGCTCTCAAACTTGGAACACATAAAGGTCCACTTCACACGGGTAATTATATATCTCTACTTGATTATGACGTGCGGTTTCTGTGGGGCGTTATTAATTTTAAGTTATACGAGTTTGTGTTATATAAGCACGAGGGGGAATCACGACTGATTTGTCCTTGTAAATAGGTGAAGTGTATTCGGGCGGTTCCTGTGACGTCTTTACCGAGATGATTGGCGCCAAAGGAAAGGACGTATTGTACGTTGGCGATCACATATTTGGTGATATATTGAAAAGTAAGAAAATTAGAGGCTGGAGGACTTTCCTCATTGTTCCTGAATTGGTTCAGGAGCTTCATGTCTGGACCGACAAGTGTCAGCTGTTTGCCGAGCTCCAAAGTCTAGACGTCATGCTAGGAGAAATGTACAAGTATGTACACCTTGTGGAAAATTATATGACGCCTACAATTATTTCCGGATAAATGTATTTATTGACGAATTTATTGATTGCAGAAATTTAGACAGTAGCACCAAGGAGAAGCCTGACATTTCCAAACTCCGGGCGTCCATACGGGACGTGACGCACAAAATGGACCTCGCATACGGAATGATGGGTTCTCTGTTTCGTAGTGGAAGTAGACAAACCTTCTTTAGTAGCCAAGTAGTTAGGTACGCCGATCTCTACGCGGCGACTTTCCTCAACCTCATTTATTATCCATTCTCGTACATGTTCAGAGCACCCGCCATGCTGGTAAGTCTCTCAGGAGTATCTTGAAAATATATTCCCTAATGCGGTTTATTTAACTGACTCTTTTTCTACGTCTATACTCCTTGCAAATGTTATTTTTAAAGATGCCACACGAGAGTACGGTAGCTCACGAGCAGAGGTTTGTCATGGAGACTCCAATGATCAGTCGCTCTAGGACGTTCAAGCTTGCAGACGACGAGGAAGAGCAGAACAGCAGACCGGTGGCTGTAAGTCTCACTAGAAAATGTTTGTTCAGTTCTCGAAAAATTTCTCGTAGTGTAATTTATCCCAAAGAACTTTTATCTCCAGCAGAGAGCTCTGGAAGTGGAGCACGCCAATAATCAAATTCCTCACGCGAGACCAGAAACTCCACGAAATGTTACGCACACGCACGACGAAGACTGCAGCGACGAGGATAGCGACTCCCAGAAACACGGAAATCACCTGAAAACGTGCACGCGAAAAAACAATTGCAATTGAACGCTAGTTTCCCATCACCGTATGAAATAGATATTCGAGCGTTTCGCGTACAGCTGTATGTTTTTGAATCTGATCGCTGATTTATTCTTTATTTGAACGATCGGCGTGTAATTTAGAAAGCCTCCATTCCCCTATATTATTTATGTGTTGCTACTCCGGTTGTCTGTAGACCCCTTGATTTTTCAGGGGATCGAACAGATAACATTTTTCTCCCCTCTCAGTAGAAGAAAATGCGGCTATGATTGCTACAGCAATGGTAGCTTCGACGGCGGCGGCGACGACGACGATGATGATGATGATGATGATGATGATGACGACGGCGATAATAATAATAATACTGTCGATGAAAATATTCCGCAGGTAATGAAAAACCTGGTTTGAGATACATAGATATCTATATGAATATTGTTCGTAGAAGAATGAACATTACAACGAGCAGCAATATACATATATTACACTTCCATGCCATAAGATTTTGTCCACTGCGTCGCGTCCAATCGGACAATACGAAAAATATTACTGATAGATGTATATATAATTAGATATATCGTTCTTGAAAAATTGTTTGTTCATGTACATATTAAAGAAAAAGGTATTAATAGGTACTTTGTACACGTAAACAAGATCGTTAAATTCTCATGAGCTTATAATTAATAGTCGTAAATTTAGAAATGATCGGTCTACTGAAACATATTACTGCAAGCAGTACGTTTTAATGTAATATTGTTGACAATGAGGATTTGTTCTTTGCGAATAATCTTGATGAAACTTACCTCATACCTGACAGCTCGTTTAACTATCTATTGCTGCACTCAACGAATTTGCTATTTGATATTGAATATTTCATCGGTATAAATACATTGTATACATATATATTATGTTCGAAATTTATCGTTTTTCTTCGCACAATTCTCAATGAACTGCTGAATATTTGACTTGTTAATTCGCCATTTATCTAGACTTCGCTTATCGCTCAGTTAAATTTTGAAAATAGACAAATCTAATGATCAATACATAAAGTGAGATTACGCGTTAGGCTAGTCCTTTTTATACCAGATTCGTGTTGTCATAAATTTCGACAGGCAATGTTATCATGAGCCGAAAGAAAATGCAAGCTAAACATTAACTTAGAAACTTAGGATTTCGATGAGATATTAAAGCTAAATTTACGTAATTTCTTTATCTGGCTGTTACCTGGCAAAATGTTAAAAAGAAAAATAAATGAACCGATTTGAAAAAATTAACTATATTGAATGTGTAGCGCGAGTAACATGCAAAACGGAATAAAATTGGAAGACATTATTCTGCGTTTTTTGTATAAAATTTTAAATATCGATTGTATAGAATTTGGTTTTATTTTGAATAAATTAATATATTGTAATGTATTGTACTGTGGAGCAGTGAATGCTAGTCGGTGCTGTATTAATAAGACTTAATAACATGATGGAGTGTTCCACTACACTTCACAGATACCAAGCTTGCGTATAATTCACAGAAACAAATCTGCAAGGTATTCCTCAAACTCTTCTTCCCTTGATTTCTCTTGATTCTTCGTAGAGCCTTCTTTCCAAACTTCAGATTCAGTAGCCATGCTCTGTTCTGGAACACTGGATTTATCTGCATCTTCATCTTCCTTCTCGACTTTGATTGTGACCTGTGGTTCACTGGATGAACCAGGTGTCTGTTGTTCAGGTTGAGAGCATGTGCCCAAGCGCTTCAAGGATTTTCTTCTTTTGATTTCTCTTTTTTGGGTCTTGTAATTCAGTTTCTCTGAGCATTCAGGGCAGAGTCCTTGTACAAAAATAGGTATTGTAGCAAATATAGATTATTATTATAGTTAAATTTATAATATGATTTACACACGTAATTTTACAAGAGCATTCTTCTTTTCACCATGTTCCACATATCCAAAATTTACTTCCCAGGATCGCAAGTGCTCTTTCTCCTGGCATTTTTTATTTCCACATTCAAACTGACCTTTGCCCACTATTACTTCTTTTTCTGTTCTCCATCTAAGAGCAACCTATGCAAATGTTCAATAATATACAAAATATAAAATATAAATTTCACATGACACTTGTTGCATTTGATTTACTTACCTTATTCAGTTTATAGTACATTAAATCGCATATGCTGTATTCTTTGAACAGTTTGTCATAATACTTTTTAGCGAGCCGAGCTTCCCAAGAATCCGGTGCATCGTTTTCTTCATCCCATAGAAATCTGTGATTCTCTTTAATCACGTCATAGTCAGTTTTGTCTCGGGACCTCGAAACACGCCGAAACGTCAAGAGTTGCTTGTGTTCAAGCAAACAATATTTTTATTTTTATTTTACGCGAAATATCGTAAGATTAAACTGTATAAGTCGCAGATGAGAATTCAAAATTATAAATCTAAAAATTTCTTCCAATAATCGTATCTCGACAACAAAATGTAATACCATAAAGTTTGGCTATTTGTACATACGTGTCTCGTTTTAAAGATAATGCTGAGCCTTGTCTCAGTGCAAAATAATCATTTACAAGTTTCTTGTGCCGGTCGTAGGCGGACAGATGCGCGAATGCTGGAAACATCGTGTTCTTGGAGAATTAGTATAGAATCAATACATTTAATTTCCGTCAAGAAGTTATCCAGCATCGTTCACGCGCTGCCTTTTTCTATAGATGGCGTAATGAAGCGACACGCAGAAAGTAAAATTAAAGAAGAGACGAAAGTTCATATGTTGGACCAGAGATGAGCAGGGAGATACACAATGCTTCGGTTTTAGGCGATACCAAAATCATTGCGCTAAATCGTAGCGGCAAGTCTGGAAGTAGGATTCTGTGATCACGCCTCCGTCGACACTGCAAATCCCGTCGTAGCCGAGCTAAACGTGAACACGAACGCGTAGTTTGGCGGGCAGAGGTTCTCCGCTCCTCACCTTTGGTTCCCAAAGCAACCTTTAGAAAGAGACCGGGAACTATAGAACCTCTCAAGAACTATTGTTGAAACATTTTTAAGAAAGTGCAGTTCCAACTTGACACGTGTGTAGCACCTCGATTTTGACTAAATATTATTGGATCTTGATTTACTTTCAAAATTTATTCAAAATATAAAATTGAAGCTAAATAAAAATCTCGCAGAATATACGGAGCAGATAAAATTTAAATTGAAATTGTAGAATATCGAAAATAAATTACATTCAAATTGAACTAATAATAAATTAAGTGTTTGTAACATTAAAATAATGAATTAAATCAATAAAGTAAAATATTAACCAAAATTGTGAAGTTGCCCAAAATTGTGTGCGCGCAAATTCGTCGCGACAGGACTCGGCGAGTGGGAGATGGTGGAAAGTGGGGGGAGCGCTCGAGGCAGTGCCCGGACTCCGAGCGCTCATTCTTCCTCGAGCCGGTCTCCTATACTGGTCTCTTGGAAGTACCCCTCATATTCATTTCCAACCTTCTTCTATTTCTATAGTTATTTCTTCTTTACTTTCTGATTTATCTCTTTACTCATTTCTCCTCTACTTATATACCCCTATTCCTTACTTTTCTACTTTTTAACTTCTTTATTTCTATCTTCCCTTCTGTCTTCTCGTTCGCTCATTCTTCCTCGAGCCAGTCTCCTATACTGGTATCTTGGAAACACCCCCCATATCCATTTGCAACCTTCTTCTATTTTTATATTTATTTCCTTATTTCTTTATCATTCATTCTTTACTTTCTTATTTATCTCTTTCCTCATTTCTTCTCCACTTTTATAACTCTATTCTTTACCTTTCTACTTCCCACTTCTTTATTTCTATCTTCATTTCTTTCTTCTCGTTTCGCTTTGTTCCTTCTCACTTTCAATTGTATTTGTCTTACTTTCCCTATTCCTTTGGTCGGGTCGAGCTTATTAATTCAAGTAGTCATATAAGAGTAGTCACCCTGTTAGTGCAGCTAGACTTAAGACCATGGTGTCGGGGGTTGCCCTTCCGCCTCATCCGCTGAGCTTGCTCAGTGGTTGGTGGCCCAAGTTGTGGCCGCAACAGGACCTTATGGGTCTCCCGACGGGGGCCTTGAGCCCCCTTAGGGTATCTACGGCCATGGTCTTTCGTATAGTGAATCTAGCCAGGTGCCTAGCTCTCGCGTATTTAGTATAATTTGTTCGCTTTGCTAAAAACACTCCAACATGTCGTTGACCCTTGGGCACTTGTGTGGGTAGAGACGATCCTAT